AGCTGATGACTGCCAGAGGCTAAAACCCAAGCTCTATTCTGGTTTTCCAGTTCATAAATGTTGACTTAAATTTTTTTAAGCACTGAAGTCCAAAGTAAACCACTTATAGAATGAACTGACCTACAGTCTCCACTGAGTAACCCTGGCTTAACTTAGTCAAACATTTTCATATCCCACTAGCATATTTTAAGCATTTAGAAGTTATTTTGAGAAGGAGGCTTTCTGTGAGACCCTGATTGCCTCAAACTGTGCCTTCATGACTAAGCCTCACACATGCTGGGATTACAGGCTAGTGTCACCACACCTGGCTTCTTGCGAATTTAAAGGTCAGTTGTGTTCTTCGCTAGCAAAGTTCCTATCATGTATTTATTTATTTTTCTTGCTCCATTACCCTGTTTGTCACTCATTTGTAGTATCTCTTTAGATTTTAAGAAGTATTGTTTTCTAAAGAAAGCTAAAGTCCTATTTCTGATGTTGCCATGTAAGATCTCTTCTATGGTCAGTATAAGCCTAATGACTTGAGTTGGAGCTCTGGGTTAATGTTTCCTGGATCACTTCATAGTGAATGCATTACCAGGGACTTAGTTTCTGACTGTGTAATGGTGCAGACAATAGATGCACTCTTTATGTTCATGCAGTTTGCCATCTAATAAACGAGGTGAGACACGAAATAGCCATAAATGCATAATTAACAAGCCAGGCCTGGGGACATGGCTCAGTGAGTTATGTGCTTGCTGTGTAAGCTCTAGGGCCTCCGTTTGGATCTTCAGCACACACATAAAAACTGGGTGTGTGTCAGAGACAAGCGAACCCCCAGAGTTCCCCAGCCAGTCTAACCAGTTAATGGGTTCCAAGTTCAATGAAAGTCCCTGCTTCAAAGACTGGAGTATGCTAGATGATGCTACCTGATGTTTGCCACCACATATGTGCACGTGAACACACAAAAAAGATGAACTTAAGAGATCATTAAGTTTATTAAAGTGAAAAGTTCAATGAAACCATAAAAAGGGGGACATGACTCACTTAAGGGACAATCTGAGCTGAAATCTGAAAGATAAGTAGGTGGTAAGCAGACAAAAATCACAGGTTTATGGGGAGAGAAGTATTCTAGACAAAACTGAGTGAACAAATATTTTAGAAACACCCACAAAGCCAATATGACAGGTGTACAGAGAAAATGCATATACTGAGATAGAGACATAACTGTCCAGGTTATTCAGGGTGTGTGTGTGTGTGTGTGTGTGTGTGTGTGTGTGTGTACATTTGAGTATGAGTGCATATGTGTATGAGAGCTATACCAAAGTTTTTAAAAAATTTTATTTGTTTCATATGCCACATGTATGCAGGTTCTAGTGGAGGCCAGAAGAGGGTGCTAGTTCCCCTGGAGTTGAAGCTGAAGGTGGTTTGCCCTTCATCTGACATGGGTGCAGGAAGCCAACTCCAGTCCTCTGGAAGACCAGTGAGCTCCTAACTGCTGAACCAGCTGTCTCTCAGAGTTTCAGTTTTTTTGTACCAAGATCCATAAAACCTTTTAAAAGGTTTAAGAACTTTTTTTTTATAAGATCATGTTTACTATAATAGAGAAGTAGCAGGAAGGGATCTGTTGATTGCTTCATATTCAACATATGATTGCTGGTTTTCCATTTTTGGGGAAAGTTAATTTCCTACATATACAATATCTCTGAATATGTAAGCCAGCCTCATAAATGACAGTTTCTTTGTAAAATTACCTTAGAAATTATGTTTTATGACTCAAAACAGTTTAAATAAAACAGTAACTAGTTTTCTTTGATCACACGATGGCACAATAAGGCTTACATATAGGAATATAATATTTTTTAAAAGAATAATTCATTTCTTTCACATGTGGATCTGTTTTCTATTTTAAGTCATATTTGATAAGCATAATTTAAAAGAAATTCTTCCATTTTTAATAATATCACACATGTCTAGGTAGAGACATACATATAATGCTACAATTATTTTCTCTTCTTTATAAAATTTTACTTGCCTCTTAGTTATTTAACTATTTGTTCAATCCTCCTTAATAACATGATTTTAATCAGTTTTATTTTTTATATTTTCTAATTTGTTGATCTTATCATTTGAAACCTTAACTATTTTAGTGTTATTAAATTTAATATTTAGTATCAATATAATTACTCATGTATGTTTCTAAGATTTAGGATTTTGTATTAAGAATGGCTTGGCCCCATCTTATACATTTTTGCATGTAGTATGCTCATTGCTTTTAACTTTAAAGGGTTTTGATTATTTTTCTAACCAAAAGTTGTTTAATATTTGCCTTTTAAATTCTGATTGCCTTAGCAATAGGCAACCATATTTTATATCAGTTTGTTTTATTTAGGTCATTATAATAAAACCCTTGAACTTGATCCTTTTCCAATTTGGGTTTGGGATTTGCCAGAATTCCTTTGTTATCCACCTGGACTGTTAATGTACTGTTGTGGGTTGCCTGTTGATAAGAATGCTAAGAATGCCAGGCCAGGAAGTTGGGAGGAACTGGTTGCTATATCAAGCCTGGAATGGTCTACCTCAGACAGTCTTATTGCAGGAAAAAATAGAATCGCTAATCTTTGTTGTTGTTTTTAGTGACAGCTGAATGTATTCTGTAGCAGTGTTATTCCATAACCTATTCCAACATGCTGTCAATTAATAGACTCCATGACAGTCAGAGGTCTGACACTATAACAAATTCTTTTTTTTTTTTTTTTTTTTTTTTAGACAAGATTTCATTATGTAGCTCTGGCTAGCCTGGAACTCATTATGTAGGCCAGGCTGGTCTTGAACTTACAGAGATCTGCCTACCTCTATCTCCCAAGTGCTAGAGTTACAGTTGGTTGTGAATTACCATGTGCATGCTGGAAGGCAAATGGAGATTCCTCTATGAGAGCAGTATTTGCTCTTAACTGTGAGATATCTCTCCAGTCCTATGATTAAAATAATTCCATTAAACTTAAGAAACAACCAAAAAAACTTTGGCTAAAATAACCACTCTGTGCTCATTTCTTTCTCTTATTCACCAAAAAGGAATGAATGTCTCACATTCCTAGGTTTGGCCCACAGGTGTGGTTGAGTCAGCTTCAATTCAGAGAGATGGAGAACCTCAGCAGTCCAGGGGCCAGGTTCTTATGCAGATTCTACCCCTATGTTCATTTTCCATCCAACCTTGTTTCAGTATTCTGTCTGCTTCATTGATTTTCTGAAGTGGAAAGCCTATCATTTTCAAGGTGTGTTACACTAGGATATTGTGTTCACATCCACAATGGCATCAGTTTGTGGGGCTTTACCTTTCCAAAAGTATTCTGCCTGTAAATAGTTATTTCCCACCACTCTGCCAAATGGATTTATGGATTGCTTGGTTACAAAAAGATGGAGTAATGGAGAAATAGTGGGTTAGTGACCTGGGAAGGAAGCAGAGGGAAGCAAATACAGAAATTAGTGGTTGACCTCATGGGACCCATCCCAGTGTGGCCCATTAGGACTTTGACTGTTTCTGTGGATGCTCAACCCAGGCATCCGAATCACACAGTTGGAGAAAATGGATATTTCTCCTTTTCTTGTAGGTTATCACTGTTTCAGGAGGTGATCAGAGTTATCAAGAGTTGAGGCTGGTTTTTGCTCAGAACCAAGTCCTCCAAATTTCTGATATCTTTACAGAGAAACTGAAAATGCCTGCACTTGGCCAAGAGGCTAACAGCCTTTACTGTGGCTCTTCAAAGATTCTTCAAACAGTGTTTTTGCCTAAAATCATATAACAAAATGGCAAAATGGGTGTCATAACTACTTACACACTCCCATTTCTTTACCCATTTTCTCCTCCCTCCTGGTCCCTCTCGACCTAGGTGACTTCCGTTGATATCTTGGGGATGTTCTAACATAGCTGAAAGATGACTGAATTGATTCCTGACTCATGAATCTCAACTGACCTGTTCTTCTCACAGTGTCCTTAGGACCACTCTGTTATCCTGTCACATTCTGCCCACACACAGGGTGAGACATTTTGAGAATCATAATAACCTATTTCCCATTGAGCCTGGAAGCACACTTACTATCAGTAATGGTTGCTCCCAGTGGGCAAATGATGAATGAAATGCTTTGTTTAACTAGTCCTCTACTGTCCCAAGCACTGTTCACACATCCATACTATAATGATCACCTGCATTCAGCTCTCTCCCACACTCAGAAAAAGCACAACAAGATGTTGACTTCTATTAGGGTAAGCTAGAAGGAAATTCTGCATCTTTAAAGGAAAATAGTATTGTTTCTTCTCAAGTGATGTTCTGCTGTCTTTATTAGATTCCCCTGTTCTCCGAGGTTCAATTCACACACCCATTTAGATGATTCCCAAGGCCCAGTTTCTCTCCTAAGTTCCTGTCTAACAACTTACTGAACTTCTCCATCTAGGTATTCTTCTGGAATCTCAAGTGTGTCATGGCCCTAAATATGCTTATATCTTTCCTCCTGACGTAGTACCTGCTCCCTTACTGGTGACTAGTCACCTTAAATTAAATGTAGTCATGTTTGAGTAGTCCTTTACCTTCTCCTCCTACACCACACGGCTGTTTTTGTGGAGTGAGTTCACCGTGGTCATGACTCATCATCTCACCTTTGTATCTCCATGGCCGCCACCCTGGACTGGTAGAGCCGTATCAGCACTGTAAGGCTCCCATCTCCCCTGTACATTAATCAAATCAGGTCTGTACTATGCATTCACTGAAAGTGATTTAAAAAAATGTTCTTTGTGCTTTTTTTTTTACTGTTTCTTAGGTTCATCATTAGTGGAAATAGTTTACCCTTACTCAAACTAATGAAAGTTTTGATTTCTAATTCTGTTTTTATGCTTGCTCCCTGTGGCTTGTTTTAGCCTGCTCTTTCTTCTTAAACATTTGACATTTGAAATACCCTCTCTAACACAGCAAATAAGCCACATGCTATGCACACAGCAGCAGCATCTCTACCGTTTGGATACAGCTCACCCTTTGAGCCCTTCCTCCTCCTCTTCTTGTGCCTCGAATTCCATTTGGGTTGGGCTTGCTCCCAGAGGAACTCTTCATTATTTTTCCTCCAAGCTTGTCTGATGCTGAAGTTCTCTGATCACAATCCGTTCCTCCAATTCTGCTTTCCACATTCCCTTGAATCTTCTGCAAACTCTGGCTGTGCCCCAGCAGCCATTTTGAATATTTTCTTCTTTATTTGTTTCCTGATGCCCCAGAAACAAGCTAACAAAGAAAACTGGAGCAGCTACCCTTTTCCTCGGTTCTCATACAGTTCTTTAGCTCCCTTGTGACTGTTGGTATATTTTGTATTCTATCAGGATATACCTAGGACCTTTTTCAAAGGCACAAGCCATATTCCCAATTCATTTTGCTCTGAGGCATCAGGAATCTACACAATGCACTGTCAGCTGCAGTGCTATTTATACGAAGTCAGTCCCCAGCCCTTTTCTACATTTCTGTATTTCTCCTTGAATTCTATTTCCATCTCTGCTGGAGAGAAAAGGAATGGACTGTTTTGGAGTGGTGGTATTTCAGCAGCAAACTAGTCACTGTGAAACCAAGTCCCCTGGTAATTATCAACATTGTCATAGGCTCTCTCATAGTAGTCTTGTGAAGAACTTGGTACTTTTCAAAATTACACGGCTTTTACCATTTTAAATGTTAAGTCTCTGCCTTTGAGAAAGAATAATTCATTTACTGGCTATGCTTTCTGAGTGAAGAAGTCAAAGAAAGACAAATTTAGATTAGTTTCCCAAAATTATGCAAATGAATGTTCAACAGACACTATTTTTTTGTCTTAAAAAAGCTTCTTGGGGTTTTGTTTGTTTCTCAAAAGAGGGAATAACTTTCAATTGTTACCTCAGGAAATAAAATACTGAACGTTTCACTTTGAGTCACCAGAATAGGCTACCTTATACCCTGGGGATACCACAAAAAACAAACAAATGAAAAAGCTGAGTGATTTTGGGTGCTTGCTAGTTTTCTCCTGTGTTTGGCTTCATTATAAGCATGGCCTGAGCTAGCTCTTTTTGTTTTATGAAGGGGAATTAAAATATTTCATTAGAAGAATCATACAGAAAAAATATATTTCAAATGCATACTATAGATTATTTTTTACTTATAAAAGTGTATGAGGCTAGAGTTACAATTCTTACTTTACAAAGAAAGAATTAAAATTAAACTTGATTAAGTGAATTTGCTAAGCCACACAGTTACAAGGCGACAAAATCAGAATTTTACCCAGATCAGTCTAGCTCAACACTTTCACTATTTTTAATACTTGTGTAAATATGTTTTAAATATTTACTAGTAAAGTAATTCATAATGTTGAGATTGTTCTGGGGTGTTCACCATAGGAGACTGCTCAGAAATGGGTTTAAGTTAACAGAAAGTCTCTACTAGCTGGTTGGCAACTACAATGGGTGTGTGGAATCCCAGTGTAGCCTCAAGCCTTTCTCAGGGTGAGCTTTTAAGCACAAAAATCATATCCTGGTTTGACATACTTCAATTAACAAGAGTAGTTAGCCAGAAGCAGAACTACAGAAGCCAAAAAGTAAGGTTAGTATATTTAGAGACTTTCCCTAACTGTGGACTTCCATGGATTAGACCTTTGTTTTAGTTTTGGCAGGTGGTACTGTCTACATGCTGAGTTTTACAGCCTAAGTGATACTTCCACCATGGGGTCAGCTGTGATGAAGTCTTGGGGCCTACTATGGTCTGGGGCCTTGTTACAGAGATGTTGTTATAGAATGGGGTAAATAGTTGAAATCATAGAAATACTACCATCAGTCTACTTACTTAAAGGTAGACTTTCCCCTTGTTAAAAAAACAGTATTTGTCCATTCAAAACAGTTTAAAATTAGGGAACTATGAAAAGCATTTTCCCAGCTTCTAAAGACCAGTGCTGATTTTGAGCAGAGAAAACTGAGTGCCTTAATAAGGTCCATGCATGATAAAAACAGGATGTATTTTGCTCCAGAAGAGGCACTTTGATTCAGTTACTCCCATTTATGAAGCTCAAGTCATTTGTTGCAATTGTGCTCTTCACATGCAAATTAATTACACTTGCAATATCTTGTTTTACATTTCTTCAATTAATATCTAAATTTTTCTTAAGGAAGCCTTACTTGGTGCTACAATATATATATATATATATATTGAGAAAATCTAACCTGTTTCTTTTCTCTTATGTAATGAAAGGCTTCCTTTTCTTGAGTGGCCAGAATAAGTGACTTTGACCAAACAAGATGATGATTGTTATTTGCTGAATGTAGCATATCAGGAAATAGAAAATGGATGTTTTGGTGCCAAAGAAAACACTGTTTCCTTGCTCTTGGTGCTGTAGGTCTTCCTGGCAACATCCAAGAATTTTCTGACCAAGAGGCTGGAATAGAATTTGAGCAGATAGTGCCTGAGACCTTCCACATTTCTTGTTTTCCTTTCCCTATCAACGTCTTTCAACTTATTTAGAAATGCTGTCCCCTAAGACATAAGGTTCTGGTAATGCCCAAGAAAGGATAGAAATAGCTGGGTCAGCTCTGGGAAGGCAGAGCATGTGGAGCACGGTCCCTGTTCATGAGTGGCCTTTCTCACCCGCGCATAGTGGGTAACTTCTTTTAGCCAGTGGACTATGTGCTTTTGAGTTAATTTGGGTGTCAGAGATTGGCCAACAAGACTGAAATTTGTTTTTTTTTCTTTTATCATTTTTTATTTTAATTTTAAATAGCTTGTTTTACATGTCAATCCCAGTTCCCTCTCCCTCCCCTCCTCCCGCAATCCCCTTCCCCCCCAGCCTCCCACCCTATTGCCAAATCCTTCCACATAGGGGATATCTAGAGTCTGTCATTTCACTCTGGGTAGGGTCCAGGCACTCCCCTAAGAGTCCAGGCTGAGAGAGCATCCCTCTTTGTGCTATGGGCACACAATGACTGTTTGTATTCCAGGGATAGACACTGATCCACAGCTCAGGGCCCCATAGGTTGCCCAGGCCTTCTCGCTGACACTCACATTTGGGGGGTCCAGATCAGTCCCATGCTGGCCTCCCCGCTGTCGGTCTGGGGTCCAAGAGCTCTCCCCTGTTCAGATCAGCTGTCTCTGCTGGTTTTGCCAGCCCATTCTTTGCCAATTTGCTCATCGCTCCTCTCTCTCTGTCACTGGGTTCCTTGGGTTCAGTTCAGTGATTAATTGTGTGTTTGCCTCTGCTTCCATCAGTCACAGGATGAAGGCTCCCGGATGGTTATAGACATCAGGTTCATTATCAGGAATGGGCATTCGAGGTGGTCTCTCCACTATTGCTTAGCTTGCCAATTGGTGTCATCCCTTTAGATCACTCGAGGTCACTCTGGTGCCTGATCTGTCTTCTAACCTATGATTCACAGCTGATTCTTTTTCACTCACAATTGTTGGGTTTCTTTTCTCAAGGATTGGGAAGCAGTTTCCGGCTCTTCCTATGATCTTTTAATGTTGGAAATATTTTACTACTAATAATTTGAAGAAAGTGGAGGTAAATGAATAAAAATGAGGATTTATTGCTTAATGCATATGTAACCTAGGAATGTCTTAACTCTGAGTCAAGAGTCAATGCCCTTATCTAAGCATTGTAATAAGAGCAGCTGACTCACTGGGTTGCTGTTATAGGGATGAAATGAAGTGTGTCATGTAAAGCAATTAGCACAGTGCTGGAAATAGTGAGTACTTGATGGAAGGTAGCTATCATTATGATTGCTTTATATTGCATTCTGATTCAGTAGGTCAGGCATGGAGGCTGAGAACCTGTGTCTTGCAAAGTAGTCCATTTCTGCCCTAGGCACTATCCACTAGCTTTCAATAGTAGGAGAGTGTAAAATTCATAGACATAATTATGATAGTGGATATGTTCATATCCAGTGTTTAAGCAGTGTATAATATCAAAGCTTTCCTGCCTTTCTTAACACTTGAAGTCAGTTTGTGTTTTCTAGTTCAGTACAACATACACAGTTGAAAGTGGGTCTGTGTAACAGGTTCATATTTAGTCTAAAGATGATGTTTGATATCCCAAGCTGATGTAAATAAATTACTTATGGATGCGATCTTGCTGGAGTTTCTGATGTCAGATCAGAAGCTGGGGCATTACTTCATAACCAAAGAGTTTTGTGGAATATGACAGACTCTGGAAAAAAGGGGGGCACTCAGGAAATAGGGAAACATAGGAAACACTGGACATGTACCTTACTCTAAGCCTGCATAAAGCATAACTAATTGTTAAAGCCCCAAGACATCTCAAACACAGCCTTTTTAATTTTAATTTTAATAAATCTAGATGCTAGCTTCTGAGGTTTCCCATAAACCTATTATTACCATCTGATAGCATTCCTGAACTTAATGTTCTCATGAACATACCAAGAAATACTGCCAAGCTGTAGGGGAACCACAACTGTTTCTGTTTGTCTGTGTGTTCTAAACTGAATACAAGACCGGGTACTGGAGATTTAAAAGAGAAACAACTATTTATTTAAAAATTTCAAATATATAGAAAAGAAGACAGAATACCAATTAATGTCAATGAGCCTATTGTCTGTAATTTTCTTTTTCTAACCAAGATATAAGTTACATGGAGATAAAATGTGTCTGTATAAGCCATTGCTGTATCCCATACTTCCCAGAGGATTTCTGGAGTTTTATATCTACCAATGGATGTAGGTATGAAGTTTTATAAAGATATTCTATATATTGAATGTGTATCTATTTAACTCTCATATCAGCTCATGAGTGTTAATAATAACCTTTGATATTGTCTTGTTTTACAAATAAGAAAATACAGGATTATAAAAGCTAAGTGACTTAACCAAGTTCAAATAAGGAACTGAAAGAGAAGCCTTGGTTTGAAAATAGTCTGTGCTTAAACTAAATAGAGAATTCTCAATAGTGGAACTAAAATGGCTGAAAGACACTTAAGAAAGTGCTCAACATGCTTAGCCATCAGGGAAATGCAAATCAAAACAACTATGAGATACCATCTCATTCCTGTCAGAAGGGCTAAAATAAAAAACACTAAGGACAGTTTATGCTGGAGAAAATGTGGAGAAAGGGGAACATTCCTCCACTGTTAGTGGGAGTGCAAACCTGTACAACCACTTTGGAAATCAGTATGGTGGTTCCTCAGAAAAATGGGAATCAGTCTACCACAAGATCCAGCAATTCTCTCTTAGACATATACCCGAAGGATACACATTTATACAACAAGGACAACTTGTTCACAGCAGCATTAATTGTAATAGTCGGAACCTGGAAGCAACCTAGATGCCCCTCAAGATAAAGAAAATGTGGTACACTACTCAGCAGAAAAAAACAATGGATTCTTGAAATTTGCAGGCAAATGAATGGCACTAGAAGAAACCATCCTGAGTGAGGTAACCC